CAAAATGTAATTTATTAACATGTATATCAATAATTAAACAATTTTCATTTTTATTTATATCTTTTATTGATTGTATATTAATACGTATTAAATATTCATCATCAATATTTGATGATAATTTATTTGATTCATATAATGTACCTGTTTGTGTATTTATATCTAATGCACGATTACTTGTTAATAATAATTCATAATCTTTACCATGATTTTGTATAGCATCAACAATCATTAATGTATGAACACTAAATGATAATATATTTGAATAAATATGATTCATTAATGTTAAATCAATATTTTGTATACGTATTTCTGATAATGCACGTAAATCATCACTTAATTGTATACTTATTTCATTAATTGAAAAACTAAGTGCTAAACGTGCATTTAAATCATCAATAGAATTTTTATCATTTGTTATATCAGTTTGATTTGATACAATTGTTGATGTTAAATTTTCAATAAATGAACCCCAATTATTAATTGTACCACATAATGTTTCAATACGTAATGGATCAAGATGTAGAATTATTTTAGGTAATGTACCTGAAACTTTTATTAATGGATATAATAAATCATAAGTTTGTATTGTTCGATATTGTATTAAAAAACAAACACCAAATTTTTCAATAATTGATGATAAATTATTTTTTGATTGATTATCTGTATATGTTAAATAACCTAATTGCATATCACATAATGATAATGAAAATGATGTATATATTAAATTTACATTATCATTTATTGGTGATATATTGTGTTCTCTTGGAATAATATTAACAGGATAATTTGTTGTTTCAATTTCAAGTAAATTATCATTTGCTATTGGTGAACTATCAGGTGTTACAAATTCTTCATCATCATTTTCATTGATTATTGATGATGATTGTTCATTAAAAAAATATGGACGTTTTTGAAAATAATTTGTTATTGATAATGGAGAATTTAAATCATTATTATTAGTAGTATTATTATGCATATTACAATTTTTTAATGGACATGATGATGTTTTATATTCATCATTAATAAATGTTAAATAACCAAAATCAATAATTAATGCACGATATGATGATTGTGGAATAATCATTTGTGGTGCACAAATATCAAGATAGATATGAAATTTTTTTTTAAATCGTCTTTGACCTTGTTTGATAGTTTTAACATTTGATGAACTCATTTTAGTTGTTGTACGAGAAAATATTTGTTCAAATGCTGATTTTAATTGTTTTGTTGTACGATCTTTTAAATGTGTCCAATGTTGAAGAATTGTTGATGATGATGATGATGATGTTGGTGTGGAAAATGGTTCAATGAATGCTGATGAGAAAAAATCACGTAAACGTTCAAAAGATATTGGACAACAAACAAAACAAAGACCACGACTACGAACAGCAAGTGTAAAGGAAAGACGTTTGGTTTTTGGTTGTTGTACTGGAGGATTTGTTTCATATGAAAATTCTAAGACAGGAGCACGTTGTGCACCAATCGATGTTCTAACGTAAATGAAATCATTAGTGAAAAAAGAGCTTGTTTTTGATTATTTTTCAATGATGTAAAATAAAGATTTTTGAAAACAAACAGTTATGCTAATAAATATTTACAAAACTAAAGTTTTTTGATAATGATTAGGCATTAAAATTTAAGGAAAACAAAAAACAAAAAAGTGAATATTGAAAACTCAAGGTTTGTTGGTTCTCGTCGAATGAAAATCAATTCATTTTGTTTGAATAATTTCTTTTTTTTATAAATTGTAATACAATAAAAACAAATAGTAACATTTCATGGTAATTGAAAGAAAACGGAGAAAGTAAATTGTATCTTGAGACTCTCCGGAACACATATGTTAAATACGGTAATGTGAACAAAAGTATTTGTCTTGTTTTATCTGTATTCATATGATAAATCGAGAAATAATACTGACTGTCAACAATAGTTTCTTTTCTAAGTTCGTTAGTATTGATTATTACAAAATAGAGAACTTTACAAAGATGACAGCGCTCCAACTGATAAATTGGTTTTGAGTTGTAACTATGCAGATCTAAATGAGCTATGAATGACATGAAAAGAGTTCGTGATCTTAGCTTCTTGTTAAGGAGATTCTACAGTCTTATAATATTTTTTTAAACGAATTCCGTAGTAGCAGAAAAATTAATTTTCGAATTTCGATTTGAAAATGTGCATAGAGACAGGCCTTAACGAGAATTGTTTATTATGAATGTTTCAGATCTTGTCACTGTTCTTATCGTAAGATATAACTATATTAATAGTGGGTCTTTTACATCAATCATATAAATCGGCAGATTTGATGTTCTTATTTGGCGATAGAAACAAATCAAAAGACTTGAAGCTTTGACAATAAATTAATTTCGTTAAGACCTGTCTCTATGGAAAGTTTCAATTCGAAAATTAGTTTTTCTGGTGTTTCTGATGAGAATCACGGCATTTGTATGAAAAATATCGTAAAAGTGCAGCATCTATGCAGCAATAAGTTAAGAATACACGAACTTTTTTCAAAGTATTCATAACTCATTCGGATCTACATAATGCACATAGTCTCCATTCAAAAGCAATTTATCAGGTGGATGACTTCTCTCGTTAGACAACATCAAAATTTAAGACTTCAAGATTGAAGAAGTCTATTGCTTTTCTTCTGACAAGAAAATCTTTACATAAATAGATATTACTAGAAATTGTTCGATAACTTACTCGTGTGATCGTTGTTTAGGACAAACAATATTTGAAAATGCATCTGTTCTTAAACGATCACATATATTTAAATCATCTAATCGTAAATAAAATAGTACAGATTGATATCTTGGTCTTAATTCTGTTAATACTGATACATTATTTAATGAAAAACAAAAAATAATATTACTATCAGATAATAAATCAATTTGTATAGATTTTACAACAAATTTTAAACGTAAATATAAAGCATCTCTACGTTTTTGTGATAAATCTTCATCTTCTAATGATTGTGCTATAAATGTATTAACTTGTTCTTGTAATTTTTTATCATTTTCATTTAATGGTATGTTTGATGTTGTAGTTGCAATAATTGCTTGATTAATATCTGTTGGTGTTGTTGTTTTCCATAAATCAACTGTTTTTGAACTAATCCATTTTGCATAACTCATATACCATGAACTTGTTGATTCAATATTTGTTGATTGTTGTTTTTTATTATTATTATTATTATTAACTAAAGAAAATTGTTCATTAGCACGTTTATGAAATATAACTCGACGAATTCTAATTAAACAAGCAAGATCAAATTCCATTTCAATTTCATTCATAGTTAAACGATCTGTTGGTGTAAAAGAATTTGTTATTGTACGTTTTAAATATTTATTATCAAGATATAAACGATATAAACGTTTATATGTTACTAATTGTTTTAAACGTTTATTTAATAAAATTGAATTAAACCAAAAGTTTGTTGTTGTATGTGTTTGTTCATTTGATATAGGAATTTTTAAATAATTTTGTGTACGTATTATAACTAATGTTATATAACGCCACCATAATTTTGCTGTATGTTTTGATATTTTTTTATTTGGTCTACTTGGATCATTAATAAATCTTCTATGTGTATTAGCATAATGAATAAAACGTATAACATCTGATAAAATACGTATTTGTTCAATACTTGATTTTAAACTTAAATCATTAAATGTCCATTCAAGTTCATAACGTGGTTGTTGTCGATTAATTAATGCTGAACGTATATAATTATGTGTTAAATAAATTTTTATTGAATTTGATGGTATAAGAATATATGAATGATTTAATAAATTATCTTTATTTGTATTTGAATCAATATAAAGTGCAAGATTATGTATTTGAAATATTTTTCTATTCATATTTTCATTTGATAATTCATTTGATATTTGTATATCATCAAATGATAATCCAACTGTATATGGATTATTATCAGATGTAAAACTTTCATAACTAATATGTACATCAATAATATGTACTTGAAGTTTTTCTAAAAATGATAATATTAAACGTTTTAAACTCCATGCTGATGATTTAACTTCGCCGAGATATTCAAATTCTTTTTCTAATTGTTGTTCAGATAAATCTAAATGATTTTGTTTTCTAACTATTTCATTTTCTTCAATAAATTCTTCATTTTGATTTTCATTATCATCAAGTATAATTGGTTTTATTATAGCACGAACATGTTCAACTAGAATTGTTAATACTGGTGATGATGAACGAAAAAATAATGAACTCCATACAAATGAACATTGAATTTTACCAACATGTAATGATTCAATTTCAATAGGTAATTTTAATTTTTTTCGTATATCATTATTAAGTGTTTCTTTATTAAATGTTAAATTTTCCACAACAATTGGTCGACCATAAAGTAATTGAACTGATAATTGATCGGCATTTATATCAACATAACGAGCGACATAGCCTTTTAGTAATGAAGCTATAATCGCTTCAAACATGTGAATAAATTATTTGAATTGATGGAAACAAAAAAAAAGAAATCCAAAACGTAGATCTACAACATGTAGACTATATATCCACAATATACTTTTTTTATATATTAATTAGATTAAATTCCGAAAAGTAAACTTTATATTTATTCATTCATTTTAATAGGACAAACAAATGGTATAAAGAAAGATATGACAATCTATATATACAAGTCAAGTGAAAAAGGCACTTGTTTTTTTGAAGAAAAGAACTTGAAGCTAATAAACAAACAACAAAAAAAAACCTGAGAAGCAACATGATTATATAAATACACATAAATATTACACAAAATTTTGTGAAAAGGACTTATAAATCTGACACATCGAATATCATTATTCGTTGAACGATTCAATTCACGCAAATCTACTGATATGAATAAGAATAAAGTATGTTTAAAACAAACAAACAAAAAAAACAAAAGATTGAGAAAAAAAAATTGATTTTCTACCCATTCAATATTATATAAGTAAAAGAAGAAATAAATTTCATTTAACAAATAATATTGTTTAGCCACGATTAAGTTTTGATGTTTCCATTTCTTCACGAATTGCATCTTCATAATCGCATAATTTTCGACCATCTTTTATATAAGCATAATTAGCAACAAGAGAACAAAGAAAATGAATCTAAAAATAATCTTATATTTAAATTCTATCTAGTAAAACAACATAAATAATCATTCTTACCAAACCCATAACAACAAAAAATGAACCAATTAAAGCTACAACATATCGTGGTGTATATTCTGTCTATAATATAAAGAATGAATAAATAATTCTACATAAAATTTTTTATTCAAAAACATGTTCTTACCAGTGCACATAATGCAAAAAATCGTTGTTGACATACTTTTACATCAGGTTTTTGTTTTGGTACAGGAATTCCATAAGTTCCTGGTGTAAGACATAATACCGGTGGAGCAGTATTTGTTACACCAGATGTTGTCGGTGTTGCAAATGCTTCATCACAACGATATTTAAGAATATAGAAACCAATACATGGTACAACTAATGTTAACATAGTAAATAACCAAATAAGTAACAAAACATAAACAACAACAGAAAACTAAAATAAATTCAAATCATATTTCTTTCTGTTGCGTAAGTTCTTCTGTTTTAATAAAAACTTACAAAACCAGTTGCAATACGACCTCCAAGACGAGAACGAAATCCTGTATAAATTTGATGGCGTGTAGCACCTGTAGCTAATGATCCAACAATAAATAAAATCAATGAAAAACTTCCCATTATAGCCAAAACAAAAATAATAGCTAAACGTAAAATTCGAATCCTTTAAAACAGAAAAAATATATTGAATATTTCAATTATTTTGTATATTCTACCAATCATAATCAATATATTCAGTTTCAAATACATTATTAACTCGTTCAATTGTTGCTTGAATCGGATAATAAAGACAACCACAACAAACACCTGTACCAATTAATGTTAAAAGAAATGCAACTAATGATGCTAATGGACAGCTTCCACAACAACGAAAAGAATCTATACAAAAAAAAAACAAGTTTCCAAGAAAAAATTAAAACATATTGAAATTCAAGCAACTAACTATTCTGTGCATACTGTACTTCAGACATTGTTCGTTCGGACCAAAGTTCTCGACTTCGATCAGCAAAACGACTAACATCATCTATTGAAAAATAAATAATTATAGATAATGTATTTTGTAACGAAATACATACGATCATGAACTACCATAGTGTTATAATGAAAACAATAGTACGAATTGAGTAAGAGGTACAAAGGTTTTATTGTATCACCGATTAATCGAACGAACGAATGTTGACAGACAGACAGACTGAGTAAACAAGCGATCACATAAGCGAGCAACTGCAAGCAAATAGAAAGACAAAAATAATCATTGATCGAATTTTTAAGCCAATCATCTTCTATGTTATATAAAACACCATTTTTTTTCTTTTTATGACGCTACAATTGTTATCTGACATACACAAAAAAAAAATAACATTCTTGGCGACAACTTGATAAATACTTTATCGAAATAATTTATTCTTCTTTTTTTTTTCCATCGTTTAATCTATTAAAATTTTAATTATGGACGATTCAATAATTATGAATAATAATGATGATGATGATGATAATAATACAATTGAACATTCTGATGAAATAGTTAGTGATATTATTTCATTAATACATTCAACAACACATTCAAGTTATGTTATATGTTCACAATTATCTTCTAAACTTATTTCATATTTATCTCAAATACATATGAATGATAATCAATGGCATGATTTAGAAAAAGCTGTTGAAGTAATTTTACAAAATGAGAAACTTGTAAAAATAGAATTTATCTTTATGGATTTTTTTTTCAGCGTTTTGATCAAAGTATTGATCATCCAGATCTTCGTCGTTTTCGACAATTAATTGAAACAATAAGTATATGTTCAAATGATTGTGAAGAACGAAATTATACATTAGGACGTGATGCTAACACACTGTTTGAAAGCATTTGTCAATTACAAGAATTATTAGTAAGGAAAAACATGATCATTCATTAATAAAAAATTTCTTACGGAAACAAAAAATTTTTGTTTTCATAGTAGATGTCTGATATGTGTTCTATGGCTTTTATAATATCTATTTCCGGAAAATCAATGAACACAGAATTTCCGGCCTCATAGATGCAGAGTTATTTTTGATGGATGAAGGTCATAAATAGAGTTGTAGTCTTTCTACATGTCATAACAAATTATAATCAATTTCTTACGAATATTCAAAAGAATATGTTCGAGAGTGTTCTTAGTTTGTTCTATTGCAGAACGAGAAGAATAGCTTGAGGCAAATAAGTCCATCACAGAGGAATAGGAAAAAAAATAATCATCACAGACTATAAAAATTCCATTGTTATATCATGTTAATTTTGAACTCTTAATTAAAACGAAAACAAAAAAACTTATTGATTTTTATATTCTAGCAATCTCATGTTAATCTTCATTGTACTTTACTTTCTAAATTAATTGAACAAAACGATATACAATTACATTTAATTGATGTAATGAATTTAACTGGAATGGTTCGTTATTCTATTTTATTTATTTCAAGAAAATATTTCTTATTTTTTAGAATGTTGGTAATCAAATTCATGGTATTCTCTGTGACATAGTGCATCTTTTATGTCAAATAAATAGAACATTTTCTGTAACAAATGTAATCGATCATCCAATAGTATCAAATTGTATTCGAATTATTCAAACAAGTATTAATAGTATTTGTTCAACAGGTGTTTAAATATAAAGCATGTGTATGTAGTTGCTTGTTTGTTCATATTTATATTACCGTTCAAACTAAATAGTATTTCGTATGTAATTTTAAATTTAAGTTTGAACAGTAGTTTTGAGTATGCTGTGCTTATACAATAAACAAATTGAATTAATAAAATATATTTTAGAAATATTTTCAGGTGACAATGCTAAACCAACGGTGATTTTTGCACTTCGTCTTCTAACAGATTTATTATTAACAAATGAATCATTTCCGGTGCATGTTTATGGTAAATATAATATATTTTTCTTTGAATATTTATATGATTATATTTAGGTCAATTATCAAATTGTGTTTTTTTAAAAAGTATATTTGATTTAATTGAAAATAGTGGTGAAGATAATGAATTAATATTAACAGCAGTTAAATTTATTTTATCATTTAATTTACGTTTTGATTATCCTCATGAAAATCCTATAATGCTTACATTATTAGCTGTTAATGAACAAATATCATGTAGAGAATTAATTGAACGATTAATTTTATTATTTAATCGAAGTGGTAAGAGAATAAAAAACAAAAATAGAAACTTTAATTTATTTGATTGTTTTTTTTTTTTAAACAAAGTTGATCCAATTGAATGTAAAACAACAAATTCAATAATAAAATTTTTTTCTGATTTATTTGGTGATCAAGCAACAACAAGTGATGCACTTTTATATGATTCAGATCGACGTTTAATTGTTGAAATTATAAGTAGAGAATTATCAGATCGTTCAATAACTGATGAAGTAAAAAATTTTTCGGAAATGAGTTTTTTTTCGCTAATTGAATTTTATATTTTAGGCAACAACAACTTATTTATCCTTATTAGAATTAATTCTTCGTAGTCAATCAATAACTTCTGAAACATGCACGCGTATTGATGAACTTCAAACAAGTTTTCGAGCACATTTATATGCTGAAAATTGTTTAAAACAAAATCGTTTTATTATAAATGAAATTCTTCGACAACATTGTTGGTTATCAACAAATGACATGCCATTTTATCTTTAAAATATTTTTTGTTTTGTCATTTCTACTTTTTATCTAGACATGTATTTTTGTTTTCATAGTTGATTGATACAATTTAAAGAGAAATAAAATTAATAAATTTATTAGTAGATGAAGAAAAAGAAATATATATATATATATATTTAGAATTGTAGATTTTTAAAGAAAATTCAATGCCGGGAATAATAGCAAATGATAGTATACAACAAATGGTAGATGAAAAACCGAAATTACCTGAACAAATTGATTTAGAAGAAGCTGAAACAGCATTAGCTGGAAAAGATTACAAATTGGCTCGAGAATTACTTGAAAAATTAGGTAAAAATGTTATATTGAATAATTAAAACAAAAAACAAGGATATTTTATTTTAATAGTTAAACTTGAAGTTATTGTTGATAATGAAGATTCAGTACGAATTAAAGAAACAGCTGTACTTACTCTTGGAAGACTTTATAAAGAAACAAAAGATGCAAAAGGTATAAAAATAGATTTTTTTTTTCTATTAAAATAAAAAAACAAATTAATTTTATTTCTTCAGCATTAGCATCTCTAATTAAAACAACACGTCCATTTCTTGGTCTTGTAAGCAAAGCTAAAGCAGCTAAACTTGTACGAACTCTTGTTGATCTATTTCTTGATATGGAAGCTGGTACTGGTGAAGAAGTAAGTCAAATATTTTGTTTTTATGTTTTAGAATCTATTTGAGATTAAAATAATATTTTATAATATTACAAAAAAAAAGAATGCACTAGTCATATATTTGTTGAGTAAATAACCTTTCAAAATATCATCAATATATAAATAAGAAAACTTGTTGATCGATAATTTGATTTATTTTTGTTTAGTATATATGTCAATGATGAGGATAGGAAAAGATAGTTATATGATTAGTAAATAGTTTATTTTTTGTTCTATAGATATGAGGAGAGAGTTTGAAAAAATATTTATTTTAGCTATTATTAATGACAATTGATTTTAGTGCTGTAGTAAAATAACTATTTATAATATACATCGAGAAATATTTTTAAAAAAAGCCATTTATTGAATAATGTTCTATTTGTTAAGTGTTTTACAACAAGCTCATCAAAATAAGATTACATCTTACTATCAGAAAAAAAAGAAACTATTTCGTCACAAAGATATGACACGAAAAAATAAATAAATGTATAGGTTGACAGTGCTTTGGTCGAAAATATTGAAATGGACAAATACCGAAATGCAAAGATATGCAAATGGAAAACAGGTCAAAAAACTCTTTAGAAAATGTTGATTAGCAAAATATACTTTTTGTTTGTGATGTGACACTAATACCTTAACAGCAATCACATACAGGTCAATAAATACATAAAGAAATGATTTATAAAAATAGAATTTTATTGCATTTCGCAATCAGCAAGGACAAACCATCTAGGTATTCCATTTTATCGATAGATGAGGGCATGAGTTTCCTATTCATTCACACTCTTCTACCATTATTATTCATTGTTATAAGGTATTACTCATCTTCCTTTACTACTAACTATAGATGCAGATCAATAAAGATAATGAGAAGAACAACAATAAACTAGAGATATTACTTTTTTTTTGATATATACTTTCGACATTTTTTCTCTTCGATATTTTCATACTCGACCAAACTACGGCATCTCAGCGTATGCATTTAAGAACATCAGCCATAGTGTATGTTTAATCCTTGTATGTTTCATTGCAAGGATCATTAATAAATAAGATTCAAATCAATAAACGAATTACGTAGAAATCTCTCTTTTAATAAATGTTATTCAAATGCATAAATGTAAAACTGAACTATACAAATAATTACAAAATAATACCATAACTTATTATAAATCAGCTAATTAGAAAATATAATAGAACATTTATTCTTTATATTGTTTTCCTATTTTCCATGTCGTATGTTTGTTCGTACTATCGTGGTATTCATAAGAACTAGCAGTAGGTTGATCGGTATATTGCAATAGAGTGGCGATCAGAGGATAATCAATCGTTAAAGTATCAAACTACTGTTGGTATAGTACACATTTTACTAGCGATTTTTATTCGTTTCGAATCACATAGATTATGATTTACTGTAGCATTATTTCGAGCACTTTTGTATAAGTGAATTGTATCATAATGTTTCTACAGTTTTATCTTTAAAATGAAAACATTCTATTCGTCCGAACATACAAGATACTTTTTTTCCAGTTTTCTGTATGCGGTGACTAGTGCTTCCTATGCATTTCTTCGACGACTAGAGCCTATCGTGTCCAAAATTTTTGAACATGAATCCGACAGACTCTAATGACGGACATTTATATATATATATGATTTATATAGGTTTCATTGTGCCAAGAAAATATTGAATGGGCTAAAAGTGAAAATCGAACATTTCTTCGACAAGATCTTGAAGTAAAAATCAAAAAAAAAATTCTATGATATTCAGTATTAATTAAAAAAAACTTCTTCTGGTTTTTTTAGGCACGTCTTGTTGCTTTATATTATGACACACATCGATATAATGAAGCACTTACACTTGGTTCACAATTACTTAAAGAATTAAAAAAACTTGATGATAAACAATTACTTGTTGAAGTTCAATTATTTGAAAGTAAAACATATTTTGCTTTAAGTAATTTACAAAAAGCAAGGTTAGTTAATTATAAATGCCAATAGAATTTAATTAATTTTGTTTTTATTTCATAGAGCTGCATTAACATCAGCAAGAACAACAGCTAATGGAATTTATACACCACCAAAACTTCAAGCAAGTCTTGATTTACAATCAGGTAAAGATTTTCTTATATAATTTTGAATTTTTGAATAAGAAAAAAAAAATGTTTTATTTTTGTTGTGTAATAAAAGGAATTCTTCATGCTGCTGAAGATAAAGATTTTAAAACAGCATTTTCATATTTTTATGAAGCATTTGAAGGTTATGATCAAATCAATAGTAATAAGGGTATTGTTGCACTTAAATATATGTTATTATCAAAAGTTATGATGAATACGTATGTTTATTAATTCAAATATTTAATTTAATATTTATTATTTTTTTTCTAATGATTTTAGACCGGATGATGTTAATGCACTTATGTCAGTTAAATTAGCACTTAAATATAGTGGTCGAGATGTTGAAGCAATGAAAGCAGTTGCACAAGCAAGTAAAAAAAGATCATTAGCTGATTTTCAACAGGTTTGATTTAGTTAGTGATAAAAAAAAAACAAATTATTGAAATCTGTGATTATTTTTCTAGGCATTAAAAGATTATAAAACTGAATTATCTGATGATCCAATGGTTCATTCACATTTAGGTACATTATATGATAATTTACTTGAACAAAATCTTTGTCGTCTTCTTGAACCATTTTCTAATGTTCAAATAGAACATATTGCACATTTGATTAATTTACCTCAAGTATGTTTATTTAATTGCTAAAAAAAAAATAAATAATATTTATTTCTGGTTTTTTTAAAGGATGTTGTCGAGAAAAAACTCTCTCAAATGATTTTAGATAAGAAATTTATTGGTATTCTTGATCAAGGTTCATCGAATATAGTTATTTTTGATGAGACACCATCGGATACACAATATCAAGATGCTTTAGTAATCATTCAAAATATGTCCAAAGTGGTTGATACTCTTTTTAGTAAAACGAAAAAACTTTCTTAGATCTTATCTTTTCATTCTTTTATGTTCAAATGTTTGTTTTCTCTATTCTCATAATATCCGTTATTATTCAATCATGAGCTGACGTTTTCTTTTTTTTTTTTTTCTTCCATTAAATTTTTATCTCTCTTCTTGTTTTCCGAAGAACAGAACTAACAACAACAGAATGATACCTATGAAAATATATATAACAAGAATTGAGAAAACTTAGATGGATAAATTGATTGTTATTTTTTTAACTTGTTGTTAAAACATCAAAACATGAAAAAACAAATATATGTATGACTAATAAGATGAGCCATAATTTTTTTTTTGGTGTTTAAAACTTCGGTAGAAATCATGATTCAGATAATTGAAAGTTTTTAATAACTATTGTCTGTATCTGTTTGTATTCACAAAGAAAACATGTCAAGTGATTCTGAGCTTTTAATTATATCTTGTTGAATTTAAACGAGTCTTAATGAGATTAAGAAAATTTTAAAATTATTTATCTTGTCAACTCTATAACGGATTGCTTTATTTATTGCCATCGAACACCCACATATGGTGAAGGTTCGAACTCAAAAGTAAAGAAAGCTGGATCTACCAATCAAATGAGCACTATCGATAGTGTGTGAAATGGAAGTATTTCTATTCTGAGGAGCCTTGAATATTTGACACAAGACCTGCCTCCAGGTTAAGACAGGTTGATTGATGTTCCTAATTTTTTGAATACATTTAATTGTATTACTCAGCATTAATGTATCATTCTAGTTTCAGTTGTTCAATTAGAATGTGGAGTAGATGCGGATATCGGTGTATGGCGAGTGCAAGAAACACTCACACTCAACTTGACTTAATCTATAGATCAATGTTGGATTCGAATTCTTATATGGAACTGAGAAGCAACAACGACATTTTAACTAACAAAATCGTCAGTTCATGAAGTAAATTTGAATTAGGGAAGTTTTGGACGATTTTATACACAAAAACTGCTATAATGAAACACTGTTTATAAATTCGTGGATTCAAATTCAATTGATCAACTGATAATTGTACTAATTGAAAAGTCATTTATTCCTCACAGCCCATTAAAAAGAATCTGAATTCAACATCGGATTACACACTAACTCGAGTTTTAAGATAAATTTCTCCTTCAATCCGAAATCCAATGCTTCCAATCTTGGACCCGAGATTCGCTCAAGCATACCGTTGATTGAATGTAAGCTTAGCTTCGACGCTAGCGTATATATCGAATGTGTCTACATCTATCGAATCACCAAAAAATAAATTAATTAGTCAATCCTATATTGCTATTTTAAGAAGAATAATATTGAAAATAGGAATTACTATAATTTAATCATATTTTTGTCCTTGCCCTCACCATCACACTGAGAGTTATATTAGAAGCACCAATTAGTATAAGGGTATGATCCAACCTATGTATGCAAAGATTTTCAATCATCAACTTCATAAGAATGATTTTTTACGATTACTTTTTAAAATACTCTTTGAAGATAGGCATATTTGCATATTATTTTTTCTATTCTAGACTAAAACATGTTACTGATTGAAAACAATACTTATTGGATATATCGATTGCAACGTTTACTATCATCATACCATAAAAACAATGAAAACTTTTCGATTTCTTCATTTATAAAATTAAACTCAACAATGAAGAAACTTATTTATTCTAAACAATATAAAGAAGCTCTAGATCTTTTCGATCAAAAATTTGAAATATGTACAGATTTTACTATTGCTTTGGCAATAAAAGCATGTACTATATTAAATGATTACAAGCGTGGTATAAATATTCAACAAAAGCTGTCATCAAATTCACTTAATAATTCTTATATTCAAACATCATTAATTCACTTGCATAGTGAGTCCTTTATTTTATCGATCAGAATATGATTGTATTATAATAATAAAAATGTATGAATATTCTGATAAATGAACATGTTTACTTTCAGTAAAAAAAGTCCTTTTTCATTTTTTATCTTTTCTGGGTACAATAAGATTTCTATAAAAGATCTTAAATCAATCCAATAAATTCATTATGTTTTCTCCTACACAAAAATAATATACTTTTATGAAAATATTCAGATTGAGTCACTAATAATCTGTCAATGGTTATTAGAGATCTTGAACTAAATTTTTCAAACTAGTTTTGATTCATGAGACAGACACAAAAAAAATCACTAAAGCAATGAGTAAATAAAACAACGTCTAATTATTTATGTTAAACATTCAACAAAAAAATCATATATTAAACGTTCAATAATACTCAGTATATACATTCAACCGATCATATTTGTTTTTATTCTTAGTACAATGTCATGTTATTGATAATGTAACTCGTCTATTCTCTACAACTACAAACAAATCTAATTATATCTATACACGTATGTTAAAATGCTAATATTCTTTATGGTTTTTTTTTTCTTATTAAATATTTTTTATAAATAGGTCTAATCTCTAATAACATGCTGGAGAAAGTGCCTGATTTCTTAGATCATATGACAATTGAACCTAACAATTTTACTCTCACCATTTTATATAATACATATGCTCAACTTACCGCTGATAGATCAATGAAGATTAGAAGAAAACTTCTTGATGAAACACCTAATAATTATCGAAGCACTAGTATCATATTAAATTCAGCAATACATATGTTAATGAAATTTGGTCAGAATCAATGTTCTGAACGTGTTTTTAGATTTATCAGAAAGAAAGATATTATCCCTAGTAATGCTATGATGAAAGGTAACATATATATTAGATGTTTTTTTTCGAAACATTATTAGATTTAACTTAGGATACATCGAAAATGAAATGTCTGAAAAAGCATTGGATTTATTTGAACAGATCAATTTAAACTTAGAAAATATAACTTATACTATTGTTTCTAATACATGTACTCAACTTACCCCTGACCAAGCAATGAAGATTGGAAAAAAACTTCTTGATGAAATGCCTGATAATTATCAAAATGACAATATTCTATTAACCTCGACAACACATATGTTAATTAAATTTGATGATATTCAAAGTGCTGAATGTGTTGTTAAATTAATAAGAAACAAAGATATAATTACTTATACTGCTCTAATGAATGACTACAATGTGAATGATGAACCATGGAAATGTTTGAAGATTTTTGAAGGAATGAAACAACAAGATATTGTTCTGGATGAGATCATAGGGAATGTATTTATTGATGCATGTTTACAAATTGGTATGATTCGGCGAAGTCAGTATATTATTGATCAAATTCCTTTACATATTCAAAATCAAATACAAATCTTATTAATTGATATGTGGGTAAGTATTGATTGTTGATTTTCATCGACTGCTTCATTTTTATTTATCATTTGTCTTTTTTCCTCATATAGAGAACACGTAGTTCTGTTAAAAACGTACAAAATGTATATAAATCAGTTTATGATCGTGATACAATGTCATACACTGCAATGAGTAACTTTATTTACTTTCATTTTACTATTATTTTAAATATTGATTATTTTATTTTTGAAGTAAATGGATTTGGATTTAATGAAATGAATTCTGAAGCTATTGAATTATATAGACAAATGCCGAACAATCAATGTGATGAAGTTTCATCTGTTTATATTTTAAATACATGTTCACATTCGGATCTTCTTCATGAACTTCGGAATATCTTCAATGAAATTCCTGTCAAAACAGAAAAAATCGTTACTATTATGGTTTGTTCTTCTATTTTATTTATTATGTTAGCTATAATTTTTTTTGTATGTTATATTTAAGATTGATTGTTTAAGTCGTTTGTTATTATTTGATGAAGCACTACAGTTGATAGATGAATATGAAACGATAAACTTACCAAATTTTGTCATGTATAGTAAGTGTTTCTCATAATATTATATTGATGTATTGTTTATTTATTTATTTATTTTTATTTTAGTATGTTTATTATCTGGTACATGTAATAATCGTAACAGGAATTTATCTGAGAAGATATATAATCGAATGAAATCTTTGTTTCATTACAAAAAACAAGATCTTCTATCAGATGCAATTCTTCTTGCGAACATATATTCTCCTGTTGGTGAACATCAGCTAGCAAAAAACTCACGATCTAATCAAATAAAAGAATTACCAACGAAAGTCAACGTAGAACTATCATGGACTGATGTAAATGGTGAAGCAATGGTAAAATATTTCTATTAAATATTAAAATATAAAGAAAACTTGTTGATTTTCTAGCAGTTCAAAGTTCATGATCGTTGTCATCCTTTACCATCAGAAATCTATATTGAAGCTGATCTTCTAACATCTGAATTAATTAAATACAGTTATAACTTTGATTCTTCTTGGATGGCTGGTGAATTACATCAAGTAGTAACTATTGAATCTGTTTTATGTGGTCTTGAAAAATTAGCAAGAGCTTGTAATTTCATTCAACGACCTACTTTCGAAATTATTCAATGTACTAAAAATTTCCATGTCTATAGTGATTGTTGTAAGTTAACTTTTTCCATCTAGATCGTTCTTAACAATATATATTTTCTTTTTTTTTTTTATTATTTCAGATGAAGCTACAAAACTTATAAAAAAATTCGACAACATCATATTATTACTCGTGATATTAACTGCATTCATCATTTTATTCAAATCGATAATGTTCTTGCACATATCATTTTCGATGGATGTTGGACTCTCAACAGAACGAGAACAGCTACTGATGATAAAATAAAAAACAGTTTTTTTTTTTAAATAAAAGTTTTCAAACTGAACGATTTTGTTCTGGATCAAAATAACAGCATCTGCAATTCAAAAAATCAAATCTAAAGAAGTTGTAAAATTTAGATTGGCGAGAGTGTGGATCTTCTCCAAAGTGGCATTCACATCCGCACCACTAAGACTAAATTGTAGTGGAACTAAAAATTCGCTGTTAACTATAGTTCTACTGGGAAAAGGAGGTGTATCAGATTATGGACTAAACAATCCAAGCATAATTATATTAGCTTGAGAATCACCATTGAATCCTGATAATTTTTCACAAATTTTTATTTTATCACAACCCAATTTTTAATACCTCGAGTCCTCCTCAGGTATCCAAAAAATTTTTCTCTCGCTGTTCTATTACAAGTCTTTCTGGTCCAATAGTGCTAAGTGTGCTGATTACAAATATCACATTTTTTTTCAAAAGTACTTAGATAATAAGTAAGATCTCAAGGAAACTTTGAAAGCTTGAAAAATCAGATTTTGGCCTGAAAGTCCATTAAATTCCAATTTAGATTCGTCGAAAATAGATTCATCTGATGCAGAATTTCTTTCTCTATCAGAACTAAAATATTCAAATGTTTTCCTATCGATAAATGCCAAATATCTCCCCAATTGGATTCTATTGTTACAAATAATGATTTTTCCAGTCTTATGAAGTTATAGCACTTTTGCTCTAATCACTATACTTGAGAGCCAATTTACTTTTTTTTGACTAATATTCGATGGTTCTCGAGCAGAAATAAACCTTATTTGGCTTCAAATAAATATTATATTTGAAATGAACACAAAAAGCTGAGTTGACACGTATATGAGTTTCAAATTGTTTTTGTGACTTTTTCTTTCAGTCAAATCGTGGCCACTGATCCTCCTCAGGGATATGCAAAAAAATGAACTTCATCAAAACAACAATTTAAAGATCTAGATACCTATTCTACAACACTCAGTATTCTATAACGGTTTGGTCTTATATTCAGGTTCAAATTTTGATGTTCTTTGTTCTTTTGTATTTTTTGTATGCGATAAAAGATATTAATATGCATCATGGGTATAATCATATAGAGTCTAAGATCCACTATAGTTAACTCTATTTTAAACAACGACAACTGTTAACAAACAGAAATGATGACTCATTTTATGTTTTCGTGGCTGTTGTCTTATCTTGATGTTTTTATACCACCATGGGGTATTTCTTATATTTTTCTTGCTTAAATATTTACTTATACATAGAAGTCATTGTTAGCCAATAATGATTTAATTAATTGTTCTTATTCGTGTAGTTATAAAAGAAATGGAGATTGATTTATAAACTGAATGTTTATGAGAGATGGTGAATGCAAAGAATTACGAAGAATTCAATCGAAAAAAAAGGCAAATAAAGATGAACATCTTGATATCAATATGGCAGAAGATAATAACATTGTATAACTTTCATTAAACACAAAATATTGAGAATAGCACTTCTAGAATTGTTGATTAGAGTACTTGATAGACACGATATTTTCTTTCAACCTTCTCATAAGCTCAGTTCCATGATTTGTTAGTTATATTATATCATTGTATAGTCGATAGTGTCATCTAGCAAACATTTAAGTATGATGGTCAAATATTAAAAATTCGTTTCAAAAGAAATAATTAAACAAACCATTCCTCAAGCTAAATTTTAAACCAAAGGATTACAGTAGTATATAGATCTAAATAGTCTCTATCTATGATTAAAATTTCAGAATGTTCGCTTTTATCATAGTGAAGATATAGATATTATAATAAAAAAAATTGAAATTCCATGGCGTTTTATGTTACGCCGGTACACTTCTTTGTGTATTTTTTTTTCTTTTTAATTAATTAACAATAAAACAAATTTTCTATCAGCACACAGAAGATTATTCTTTTTTATTATTAATCTTTTTTTGCTGATTTTCGTTTTAATTTAACAACAATATCATCTTCATCAGGTTCAGTCCTGGATGATGAAGTTAAATTATCAAATTTTCGTTTTTTTAATTTTTCATCAATAAGTTGTTGTGTACCAGCTGTTGATTTAAAATGTGGATCAGATTGATCAATATTAAATGCTGGTTGTATATAAACAGCTTGAAAACGTTTATCATTAAGATTTAATTGAAAATCATCACCATGATTTGTTTTTGTTTCAACTAAATTGGATGAATTTTGTTGTAATTTTTTTAATTTCTTAGCATTTTTAGTTGCAACTTTAGTTGCTTGTTTATGTGATTTGATCATATCACGAAGATTATAATCACGTTTAGTATCAATATCATCATCAACAGTTAGTAATTCAAGTGTTTCACGATCATTTTCAATTGAATCATTTTGCTCTTGTTCTATTTGATCTTTAACAAGATTTGATTTATCATGTTTTTTATTTTTATTTTTTTCTTTTTGATTATTAGAATTTTTAAATTTTTCTTCAGCTTTACTTTTTAAACCTGGTTGCCATGTTATTTCCATATCAATATCACTAGCATCATCATCATCATCATTATCGGTATGTTGATTAGATTCTTCATTATCACTATTTTGTTCATCAAAAAAATTTGTTAATTTCTTTTTGGATTTTTTATCCATTTTAGGATTATCATTAAAATCTAAAAGTAAAGATCTAAAAAAAAATGTTATTATTAAAACAAAAACAAAAACGAATATTTGAAAATTTACCTATAACGATCAATATCATCTTGACTACTAAGTATACTAGGTGCACGAATAATAGGTTGATTTTGTTTTTTTTTATTTGAATTTTCTGGAATTGTAGTTGGTACTTTAAAAATATTATTATCATTTTTCTTTTCAGTATCTAATTCTTTATTATTTTCATCATCACTTTCATCATTAATATTATCATCATCTTGTAATTCTTCATCAGATTCTGATGCTAAATAAGCATCTAAATTAACTTGATCTAATTCTTCAAGTGTATATTTTTTCTTTGTTAATTGACGTCGTTCAATAGGTGTTTCATCCCATGTACAACGTACTTTTGTTTGTGTTAATGCTGTATTACGAAAAAGTATTGGTTTATATAATGTTTTATCAGGTAATTTTGTACATTGATCACGTGGTAAAATAGAAGAATCAAATGTAACTGAATCAGGTATAAAACGTAAATCAAGACGAACGGCACTGGTTTCATATTCAAGTCCATCACATTCTTCATAAATACGAACAGCTGTTGCTATACTATCACATTCAACAACAGCATAATAATATTTTAAACGATTTAATTGATATTTTCGTAAACGTTCACGCATTATTGGATCAGTTGTATCTGGATCATCATCTTGATTAAAATTTGGTTCATCATCATCGTCATCAGATTTTATTTCTGGTTCTTCGGGTTCTTCTTCAGCTTCGCTTTGATGACCACTATCAGTACCATTCCTAGAATACAAAAACAAAACCAATAAGATAAAATGAGTAAAAAATAAAGTCTTACTGGTCTGTTGTAATAACAGGTTTTGTAGTTCCAGGTAATGGACCAAATTTTTTTTCTGTTTCTATTTGTTGTAATCCATATTCGGATGGATAAATAGTAACTGATTTAATGACACCATCTGCTGATTTCCATGAGTTTAATAACAGAAAAATATCAACAGCACGTACACGATCCCAATCCATATTACATACTGCTAATCGATGACTGACTTCATCAGAACTAAAAAAAGAAGATATTCAATTATACATTTTTTTATTGTTTTTATTTAAGATGCAGGAAATGCAAAATTTAAGCGAAAATTTTTTGGCATTTGTATTCTAAGATTTTGATGCTTAGAATTTTAGTTCTAAAAGAAAAGAATATCATATTCAGAATCAGCACAAAAATCTTCATCAAATAGTATACGCAATACTCAAAACTAATGATGGTCCTTACGCTTCTTCAGTCTTATTTTCGAATATTCCAACTTGTGTTTCCGCTAAGATCGATATTTGATGAAAATTATTTTTTGAGTATTCAAGTAAACTATTCAATGCAGCTTTTTGTGATAACTCTGAATTAGGAATACAACGGTGATGGTGATGCACCGATCTTACGTCTAGCTTTGCATTGGTCTACGTCGGTACTAGTGATTATCATCACTGTTGCATCCATATACTGAATATGATATTCGGTTTTTTTTGGAATTGAAGTTTTCAGTATCAAAATCTTACAATACAACCGCGAATTTATTGTGTTTTCCTATCATATCGAAAAAATCGATTTTTTCAAAAAGCATGTAGAATCTTTTCCCGTAACTAAATGTTAAATAAAATTAAAAAAACAAAAATTCGAATAAACATTGAAGCTACTGAGACTTCATGCTTCTGATGTATTTCAACTTTTAAAGACCTTTCTGATTCCTTTTTAAACCTAATTTTCACTACAAAAACATCGTTTAAATATTCTCAAAACAACAATTTTATAGGCGGCAACTCGACGAGATCTATTCAACTATGACAATATAATGACTCAAATTTCGAATTCTCGATACATTAATAAAAATATTCTATTGCTACCGATTTTGAAAAAATATTTACCGAGCACATTTATCATCAAATTCATTCCATTCGATTCCATCATCAATTTCAGGTATTTCTTCATCTTCTTCCGATGAACTTGATTTTCTTTCTTCTTCTTCTTCTTCTTCTTCTTCTTCTTCTTCTTCTTCTTCTTCATTATCATTATCTTCTTTTTCTTCACTATCACTTTCATCACTTTGAAGTAATTCATCAAGTTCTTCATCATTAACAGATTTTTTATTTTTTTTCGTTTTCTTTTTTATTTCTTCTTCAGATGATATTGAACTACTATCATCATCATCATCTTGTTCAAGATGATAAAATTTATTCATATCATCACGTGTTGTATGTTCTTTAACTAATGGTCTTCCACGTTTATCAACTGTATATTTTAATTTAAATTTTGGATCATTAAACATAGATGCAAAACGTCGATCAATTTTTAATTTTCTTTCGTTTTTTGATACTGGTCGAAAACGTGGATCTTTCGTAATATGAGCAAAACGAGTATCTTTTTTAATTTCATCCATGATTTTATTCTAAATAATAAACGATCTACAAATATGAATAGGTTAAATAGACATCAATTAGGTTTCGAGTTTCTATTTATTTCTTTTTTTGTAAGGACAAAATAGAAAGTAATAAAGCTACGTAAATGGTTAGTCGAAATGACAAAAAAAAAAAAAGAAAAAGAGAGAAAACTAAAAGTACAAAAGTTTATTTCGACAACCGATGTAAACTGGCTGGAATCGTTTTAGTTGTTAAATTTTCAATAGCACTAAATACTTGTTCAGCACTCATACCAGTTAATGGAATTTGTTTTTCAATTCCATATTCATATCGTGTCCATAATGTTGGATTTATATTTGAACATTCACGAATAAGTATTGGTGTTGATGGATTTTGTTGTTTTAAATTAACATAAAATTTTTCAATAAATTGACGTGTACCTTCACTTGTTGGTGATTTTTGACATAAATGTAAACGTAATTCTTTTACAGCTGGTGCAAATCGAAGTGCTTTAGACATTATCTGAAAACGATAACGAATACCTTTAATATATGCTTTGTTTCAATGCTCGAATAACATAACATTAGAAAAAAAAAACATAATAAAAAAACCAACGAAAACAAGAAACAAACATTCTCTTTGATTGCATTAAACATCATTTCGAAAGTATGATTGCAAGTAGTGCCATTCGAATGTAAAGACCATTTTCAGCTTGACGAAAATATGCAGCTCGAGGATCACTATCAAATGTAGTACTTATTTCATCAAGACGAGGTAATGGATGCATAACAATCATTTTGCCATGTTTTTTAGCTTTACACATAAAATTTGGTGTTATTTTATAATGATCACAAACCTATGAACAACAAAACAAAGAGCTCATTAATTAATCTTCAAAATATTTGAATTAAAGAAAAATAAAAACCTTTTTATATTCTTCTTCAGACGTAAATCGTTCTTTTTGTATTCGAGTCATATAAAGAACATCAGTATCTGGTAATATATCTTCAAGATTTGTATATGATTTCTAAACAAAACAATTTTTAAGTTACATTAATTTTAAATTGGACTCAAGTTTACTTCATTCAATCTCATTTCTATGAATAGTTAGTATACTCTGTAGTGCTTAATACTATGCATTTTTATTAAAATCCAGCGCTCAGCACAAGATGCCATAGTGCTGACAAGAACCGTAGAACTATGGTTTGATCTCAATGGGTACTGTTGAGAGCTACTTTTTTTTTCTGTAATGAAAATGAATCCTATTGAGCAATACGAAGTTTACTAACTATTCATAAAAATAAAGCTTTTTATAAGGTTTAATGAGATAAACTTCGAGCGCGGATTAAAAACTCCTTGGGCCGAAATTCTTGCCATTTTTTTTTTCTATGAATAATATACATACTTGAGGAATGCCTGCTGCTGCAACACAATCCATTACATCTTGAGGCATAGCTAATGAAGATGGAGAAACATAATGAAGTGAAATTGATTCTAAAAACAATCAATTGTTTAATTATTATTATAAACGAAAGTGACAAAAAAAAATTAGATGTCACATACTATCACTGTATATAGTTAATAATCTTGCAAGTGAATGAACTGTTCTACCATGTTTTAAATCACCAACCATTGTAATCTAATTATTTTAATTTCAAAGAATTTTTTTTTTTGTTTAATTAGAAATCAAATAAAAAAATAATTTAACTTACAGTTAAACCATTAAATGTTCCAAATTCTTCTCGAATTGTAAAAACATCAAGAAGTGCTTGTGTTGGATGTTCACCAATACCATCACCAGCATTAATAACTGGAACACGTGAAATATCAGCTACACGTTGTACTGCACCTACTTCAGGATGACGAATAACAATAACATCAGCATAAGTCATTAACATTCGAACTGAATCTATAAAATTCAAACAAAAAAAATAAAATAAAATATTTTCTTTTTTTGTTTTAAATCAAATTATTTCACCTTCAAGTGATTCGCCTTTTTTAATTGATGATAATTGACTATCAAATGGAAGAACAGTACCACCAAGACGTAACATTGCAGCAGCAAATGAACATTGTGTACGTGTTGAAGGTTCAAAAAACATATGAGATAAAATTTTACCCTTAAAAATCAAATTTTAATTTATAATAAAATAAAATAAAAGAATAATTCAATATAAAAAGAATATATTACAGTTAATACTGGTTCTATTGGACGATGATGTAATTGACAATTACGATAATAATGTGCCAATGTAAAAATTTCTCGACACTAAAATAAAAACAAAAATGTTACGAAAAATTCTATGCTTCTAATATTAAAAAGAAAAAATACATACTTGTACACGATTTAATTTTGAAGAACTAAGTATATGATGTCTTGCTAGAATAGCACCTATTCTTGGTATATTTTCTGGTTTATCTTGTGCACCAGGTTCACTAATATCTATTCAAAGAATAAAAGATTCGAATCATCAAAAAATAAAATTTTCAATTATTTACCTCGGTGTCGTTTTCGATCAGCCTGAGTAGGTGAACGTTTATTTTCCAATATTAAATTTTGTGGTGTTTTTAATTTTTTCATTCGATTTAATTCACCACGTAAATGAATAAGATTTTTTCCTGTACCTTGTTCAGCTAATACTTGTCCATCAACAAAAGCAACTTCACCACGTAATACAACACGATGAACAGCACCATGCATTGTCATACCAATAAATGGTGTCCATGCTGATTTTGTTAATAACAATTTATCATCAATTATCCATTTTCTTTCCATATCAATTTCAATAAATGTATCAGGACCTTGATCAGGTAAATTAAATATACGTTTTGGATTTGTATACATTTTTTCAATTAATTGTTCAATTGTTAATTTTCCATCATGTACAGCTGTTAATAATAATGGTAATATTGTTTGTAAACCAGAAAAACCAGGTGGTGGATTTTCTTTATTAGATTTTTCTTCACGTGTATGTGGTGCATGATCTGTAGCAAAACAATCAATTATATCAATATTATCCCATAATGCTTGACAATCATTAATTGTTTGAAGTTCAGGTTTAACATGACGAAAACCTTCCATATTACCATATGCATTTAATATAAATTGTGTATTATCACGATGAAGAAATAAATGATGTGGTGTTACTTCACATGTTACTAATAAACCTTTTAATTTTGCTGCTCGTATTAAAAGAATTTCATTACGACGAGCAACATGTGCAATATGAACACTACGTGAATAAATTTCAGATAAACATAATACACTTGCAATTGTTTGATTTTCAGCATGCAGTCAAATTTTAAATTTGCCTAGTCAAAATTAAAATTTCTTTTTTTTTTTGATGAATAGAAAAAGATAAAATTTTGTTAACACAAGATGTGGATCTGGAATAGAGGTACAACAAATCTAGAGCAGATTTGAGATTTAGGACCAAGAACCTTAGAGTTTGATTTGGATTTAGGGTATGGATTTGCTTTTGGACAAAATCCACATAAACAATTTGAAATTTGTTGACCGTTATCAAAACGTAAACTATTTATATTGTTTTTGTCTAAGAACAAATCCAAATACTAAGACTTTCGTTTCAAACCACAAAATCTTTTTCCTATTGTGCTGCTTCTCTATTAACGTAGATTATTGTTGATGTTACCTTATCTTATCAAATCCTTTGAGATGTGAGTCATTTGAAACTAAATCCAAATACGAATTCAAATCTTGTCTCAAAGCCAAATCAAATAATATCAAATCTGAAGACTAAGAGTTTGATACATCCATAGTCTAGAGGATCTCAATGTAGGTATAGATATGAATGTGAGCCGTATCTGGCATGTAATTGTTTAACTTTGAGCATGGATGTGGATGAGTGCGAGTTCCTTATTGCATTTATACCCTCAAATGATATTTGTCAATAAATCTGGTGAAAGAACAAAAAATTGCTGCTAATTTAATTTTCTGTCTCTCTTTACCTTTTCCTGTTCATCAAAAAGAAATTTCAATTTGGACTAGACAAATTTTAAATTTTGACCATAATATATATATACAGCGTGTACCAAAATTATTCAACAAAGTTTGTTTTCAATTTTTTTTTCGCGATATAAAGTCTTAAAAAGGATCTAAATAGTGGTTCCAGTAGAGCAAATTGTTTTCAAAATGAATATAAGTAGAAATATAACTTTGTTTGGACTTTATGGAATGATAAAGTAAATAGTTCTCTATGATTTTTTTTTGGCTAATATGAAGTAATGTGATTGAAGATACAGAAATAATTTTTTTATGAAAAACAATAAAAAAAAACTGGTTTGAGGGGCTTCCACTAAGTTGCTGTATTGTAGTTAACAACCATTGTTGAGAGTATGAATAGTTCTCGTTCTGTTATTCCATGTTGTCCGTCGTCATGGCTGAGCAGTTACGTTGTTCGGCACATATCCAATACATACTATACTATAACTTCAATACCATCAGCCATGAAATGATTCTGGACACGTTACTAACGGGTGTTTGTCTCAGATCATCCGTCTGATAGCATGCTGACTAAATTGAGATATACACCTATCCTCGCGGTTAGTATGTATGGGAAGTTCAAGCAATGAAGTATAACAACTCTGCGTCAGGCTGACATTTTGTTCAGAACTACAACTAGTATTAATTGTTGGGAAGATAGCAGGCTAATGAATCTGTCGCCAAGCAGCACTTTATAAGCACTGAAAAACTAGGATTTTAATTTTCTAGAGACTCTATCTTTGCGAATCTGAGAAGACTTATTTTTTACTTATATTCATTTTGAAAACAATATTCTCTACTCGAATCATTATTTAGATTCTTTCTAGGGCGGAAAACAACCCTTGTTGAATAATTTTGTTACAGACACTGTATATATATATATATAGATTTATTGTCCTTACGTTTCATCCATATTTCCATATCGTCCAATTTTAAATCGCCAAATGTTGTATTTAGATACATTTTTAATCCAATACATCGATGTGCAATATCAGGAATAGTTTGAAAATTATCAACAGTTGCACCCATATATAAACCATAATCACATAAAGCTTTTTTTTCATAGAGTTTTTCAATTGTATCTAATACAGTTGCATTTGTTAATGCTGGTTTAGTATTCGGCATTGCTAAAACCATTGTAATACCTCCTGAAATAAATATATATATGATTTCATTTTATGATTTATCTTATTTTTAAAAATTTTACTCATACCAGCTAAAGCTGAAGCTGTACCACTAACAATATCTTCTTTATGTTCATCACCAGGTTCTCGTAAATGAACATGACTAGAAAAATATTTATTTTATAGAAAAAATAAAAACTAATGCAAAACATTTCATTTCTTTTTACCAATCAATTAATCCAGGTAATTGAATAAGTGTTGTCGATGAAATACAATCAATAGACATATCAAGTTTTATTTCTTGATGATTCCATCGACGTAAAGCTTCAACAAATAATTTAACACATTTAACATCAGTCATTAATGGTACACTATAATCAGTAGCTAAACGACGACAACGATATCCTTCAGTAACAAATGATGATGCACGAAATAATCCTGTTGAACGCATTGGAATATTAATGACCTATAATAAACAAATAACATTATTTATAAAAACTAAATAAAAAAACAATAACGCTTACTAAATCAAATGAACCATTAGCAAGATAATCTGCAATTGTTGTTTCTGGACCATTTTCATTTGTTGGTGAATCATGAAAACCATTAGTATATCCTGAACCAGTTGAATTTGTTTCTGTTTCTTCATATTTCCAATCAATTGGATGAATTGGTACATTATTAGCTTCATAAAAATCAGCTGATCCAATACTAGCATATAATTCATAACCAAGTTCTTTTAAAATACGTATAGATGGTAATAATTCTTGTTTAGCTTTATATGAGCCAATTGAAACAAGAATTTTTTTTTTTGGTATACGATATCCAGTACTTATTAATGCTTTTAAATAAGCATCAAAACGATCAACACCAAAACAAGCAACTTCGCCAGTAGACATCATTTCAACACCAAGTAAAACATCAGCACCTTTTCAAGAAATAAATTTAATAATAATAAAAAAACAATGAATTCATAGGTTTCGTTTTTCTTTACCGGATAAACGTGAAAATGAAAATTGTGGAACTTTAACACCAACACGTTCTGAATGAAGAAAAAGTGCATCTTCGATTACTTCTGGTTCAACACCAACTAGAATTTGTGTAGCAACAGCAATAAAATCATGATCAAATGTTTTCGAAATAAATGGAAATGAACGAGATACGCGAACATTACATTCAATTACTTTTAATTCATTATCCTAAACATAATAATAGATGTAATCAATCATATACTCTTTATCAAAAAAAAACAAAAAACAAAAAACAAGAACTAACTTTAGCTAGTAATTGTAGATTAAATGGTCCTGATATTTGTAATGCTTTAGCAACTGAAAAACAGATTGATCGAATTTTTTCAATAGTATTTTCATTAAGATCTTGTGGTGGTGTTACTAAAGTAGCATCACCAGAATGAACACCAGCATTTTCAACATGTTCAGAAATAGCCTAAATAAAAAAAGAACTCTTTTTTGTTTTGTTTTTTTTTCTTTCAAATTATAAAATATTTACCATTCGAACAACTTGTCCATTCCCTGCAACAACATCAATATCTAATTCTTTTGCATCAAGAATAAATTTTGAAATAACAACAGGATATTCTTTTGAAAGACCATGTTCGCTTAAATATGTTTTTAAATCTTTAGCATTAAAAACAGTACGCATTGCTGCACCAGATAAAACATAGGATGGACGAACAAGACATGGATAACCAACTGAATCACAAAAAGCACTAGCACTATCAAAATCTGATAATTCTTTCCATTTTGGTTGTCGAATATTAATTTCATCAAGTAAACGAGAAAATTTAAAACGATTTTCAGCTCTATCAATACTTTCTGGTAGAGTACCTAAAGAAAACAAAAAAAAAAGAAAAAGAAAATATGATATAAATTATAATCATTAAATTTCTACCAAGAACATTAACATGTATTTGTCGATGTAAATCCATTGCAATATTATTTGGTAATTGTCCACCCATAGATAAAATAATACCATGTGGTTTTTCAAAATTATAAACATCAAGTACAGATTCAAATGAAATTTCTTCAAAATATAATCTATCACTCATATCATAATCAGTACTAACTGTTTCTGGATTACAATTAAGCACTAGAAAATCAAACTCGAGGCTTTTCTCTTGTTCTTCTTCAAAACAAACAAATTCTTACTCAAAGTATAATGACCAAGACGTCGTAATTCTTTTAAACATCCAACAGCACACCAATCAAATTCCACACTACTTCCTAGAAAACTTTAAGCTTAATAAAAAAAAAAAAAACAAATTTTTATATTTACCTATTCGATAAACACCAGATCCAAGTACAAGAATTGGTGTTTCTTCATTTGTACTGGGTTGTATATCATCACTATTACCATGGTACGTTAAATAAAGATAATTGGTCTGTGCTGGCCATTCACCAGACACAGTATCAATTTGTTTAACGTATGGTCGTATACGAAATCGTTGACGTGATGCATAAACTTCAAGTTCTGTTGTATTACAATATATGCCAATTTGTTTGTCAGAAAATCCTAAACGTTTTGCTTCAAGTAAAAGTGTTCGATCTTGAATAATTGATGAATCAGAATGATTAACAATAAATTGAATAATTGATGAAAATTTATGTAAAAACCATCGATCAATTTTTGTTAATTCAAATAAACGTTCTATTGTATAACCTTGACGCAGAGCTGTTGCTATGATAAAAACACGTCTATCTGTTGGTGAACTTAATTCCTAAAATCAAAATATAAAAATTATCTTTAACTCTTTACTCTCAACTTTCTTGATAACTAACATGACCATTTATATAAAATGATTGCAAGAAATAAAGGAAATATGAAATTAAAAAAAAAAAAACTTTGAAAACATGTCTTATAGTGAACGCCATAAAATATCAATTGATAAGAAAATTTTTTGTGTTGGTGTTATTTCATCTTCGAAAAAGATGTGTTGAAAAAAAAGTGTTTATCTATCAACAAATAAGATATATATATATATATAACGATGACAATGTCTATTAATGGCATCAATACCATTCGAAAGTTTCATAAAAGCTATGTAGAGAAGAAATGGTACAACATAGAATGTTTACCTCGACTTTTGCAGAAAATCAAGACCTTTAGTTTTCCAGCATCTACAAAGCAGGTATAAAAATTGTTTCCATGCATGAAATTTCAGAGCAAATCATTCTCTATAAAGTGAGACGATTCCAAGTTATTCTACGATGATTTTTTATCGAACTACATAAGATTCAGATAGAATTTTTGTCAAGGCGTTCTTAGTTAATGGCCATTTGAATGACCATATTTCTGATATATCGAAAATACCAATATTTTATTCCAATGATTGTTCCATCAGTAACTATTCTAGAATCACTATAGGAAGTAAGGAGTTAATCAATATTACATCATCTGTAATTGTTCTTGAATATGGATCAAAACCAATAAAATCTTCATCAACCATTCGTAAAGCTTTTTGAAATGTCTCTTCAAATGATCTTCCAATAGCCATAACTTCACCAACACTTTTCACTAAAGAATAATTAAAAAAATAAAATAAAATAAAATAAATATAAATTTTCTTTATTTAATGAAAAATTATTACTAACTTGAACTTCCAATTTTATTTGAACATCGAACAAATTTTCTTAAATCCCATCGTGGAATTTTAATTGTTACATAATCGAGACTTGGTTCAAAACAAGCACATGTTTCATTAGTTATACTATTTTTTAATTCAACTAAACTCATTCCAAGTGCAAGTTTAGCTGCTATATATGCTAATGGATAACCAGTTGCTTTTGATGCTAATGCCGATGAACGAGATAATCGTGCATTAACTTCAATTATAAAATATTCATTACTAAATGGACTTAATGCAAATTGTACATTGCATTCACCAACAATACCCAAATGACGAATAACTTTAATTGATACACTTCGTAATAAATTATATTCGTCATTTGATAATGTTTGACTTGGTGCAATAACAATTGATTCACCAGTATGAATTCCTAATGGATCAATATTTTCCATATTACATACCTTAAAATACACATAACAAATATTTGATAAACAAGTAATGCTTGTCTGTGGACTCACTCAGCTCCTTCTCGTAGAAGTGCTGTTTCTGGACTCTCCCCAAATTATTCACTTATCTATATTACTAATAGTAACTAGTTCCACATTGAAATTCTTGTTTTTGAATTTCCACTAGTGAAGCTTTTTCCTAAACTATGATGATATTAGTATGTTTTACTACTCCTTAGCATTGTTAGCTTATTAATACAAGCTCATCATAGATTCTCGTTTTTTATTTGAGAAATCTTTGATCAAGTTTTCCAGAAGAGACAATAATAGTAGTACTTAGAAAAAAATCAAAACAGATTTGAGATTCAGGTTCCTGACTCTCAATTTCCCCTTTTCGAGTGTTGTAAAAATATTAATGATTAATAATTAAAACAGAGTCCAGATTTGCGTTCTCCACCCTCGATCACCTTCGGTCAAGTTTCGTTGAAAATATAAATAATTAATAATTAAGTAATAATATGTTAATAATTAAGACCGACTTCGGATTCGGATTGCCCACCCTCGATTACCTTTCACCAATTTTTTTGAAAAAAATTAATAAATATTAATCAGTTAATTATTAATTAATAAATCAAAACTGACTTCAGATTTGAATTCTCCATCTTCGACTACCTTCGGTCAAGTTTTATAGTAAATAAATATTAATAATTAATAAGCAATTAATAATTAGTTAATGATCAATAAGCAATTAATAATAAGTTAATGATCAATAAGCAATTAATAATAAGTTAATGATTAATTAAATATGAGCTCAAATTTAGATTCCTCACCTCCAATTACCTTTGGTCAAGTTTTATGGGAAATAATCCCTTTTGTTTTCACAGCATACTTCAACTAATCAGTGAAGTGTTGACATACAAATAAGCAACCAATTTCTTCTTGCTAGACCCTTCTCTACGAGAAAGAGAATAAATTAGAAAAAGAAATAGCTGTTCACGCTACTTTGAAACAAATCTCTTTACTATTCTTTTACATAATCCTCTAAAAATGCAATAAGAACATAGTTCATATGATATAATGAGATATTATTGATATACGATTTGTGATAGTTCTCTGATAGAGATGTATAGGGTAAGCTTTTTTCATATCCTGTGCCCTAACTGAGAAAAACTTTCTCGTACTTACCCTATCCTACTCTGCAGATCTCTATTCTCTACCTAGCACCTGTCACGATCGGTGGGAAGGAAATGCAAACTTTTATTCTTCAACACTTCTTTTAGATCGTGTTTCACAAAAAAAAAAAACAGTTAAGTATTAAACATACCACAATACAATTATCATATTTATCTCGAACAACTTCATATTCGACTTCTTTCCAACCTTTAAGTGATTTATCAATTAGTAATTGAGATGAATGTGCTAATGCTGATGTAACTAAAGGAATTAATTCTTCACGATTTTCAGCAAAACCTGAACCAAGACCACCAAGTGCAAAAGCCGCTCTATATAGAAGAAGAATTATTTAGAAAAAAAAAGAATTTATCTGGAAGATCTATGTACCGAACAAGAACTGGATAACCAAGTCGTTCAGCTGATACTAATGCCTAAAATAATATATGATTAATGATAATATTTGAAAATTTTTCTTTTTTTTTTATCAAACCTCTTCAAGAGAATTAACAGCTTCACATGGTGCAACTTTTTCACCAATATCAGCCATCTTTTGTGCAAATAAAGATCGATCTTCAGTAACTTGTATGGATTTAATTGGTGTTCTATTCATATTAGAAAAAAAAAGAAAATCTATGATTTAAATATGAAAATATTTTTTCTTACCCTAATACATTGCATGCATATTTTTTAAGAATACCCGATTCATGTAATTGAATACCACAATTCAATGCTGTTTGTCCACCAAAACTAAGTAAAATACCATTGGGACGTTCATTACGAATAACTTGTTCAACATAAGCTGGTGTTATTGGTAAAAAGAATACTTTATTAGCAAGACCTTTTGATGTTTGAACTGTTGCTATATTTGGATTAATTAATATAGTATACACATTTTCTTCATTCATCGATTTTATTGCTTGTGTTCCTTAAAAAAAGAGAAAAGAAATAATTAAAATAACATACAAAAACAAAAAATTTATTCCTATACCAGAATAATCAAATTCTCCAGCTTGTCCAATAATCAAACCACCACTACCCAAAATCAATACTTTGTTCACACGCTCACAGAATGATTCTGGTGGAGCACTAACACCACTAAAACGACTAGTTAATTGTTCTTTTAAATATGATTTCACATTCATTGGTTTCCTTAATTTATATGATTGAACAACATCAAGAAATATTTGAAATAAATTTTCTGTATCACGTGGTCCAGCACAATGTTCAGGATGAAATTGAACACTAAAGAATGGTTTAATATCATGAACAATTCCTTCATTTGATTGATCATTTTGATTTGTAAATAAAATACTCCAATCTTGAGGTAAACCTTCGAATGTTTGAACAGCAAAACCATGATTTTGTGATGTTATAAAACAACGATGAGTTCCTTCCAATAAACATGGCTTAAAATATCAAAATAATTATTGTTATCAATGTAAAAATTATTATAAAAGACATACTTGATTATGACCACGATTTCCATATTTAAGTTTTGCTGTTTTCATTCCAGCAGCTAATGCCATTAACTTTATAAAAAAAAAAACAACAAATAAAATCAATTCATTTAATAGATAAATAAAACACATTGATTTTGAAATTTTTACCTGATGACCAAGACAAATACCAAATACTGGTTTAATAGTTTTACTGTTAATCCATGATGCAATTGTTGCAATAGTTTCTGGACATTGTGTTTGTGGATCACCAGGACCATTACTCAAAAATAGACCATCAAACTCTTTAAAAAAATATGTAGAATTTTTTATTTTTTAATTTTTTTTTTGAAATAAAATACCATCTTGTTTAACAGGATGATTCCAAGGAAAAACAGTTACTTTTGCACCAAGTTGACATAAAATTCTTAATTGATTATTTTTAAGACCACAATCAATACAAGCAATCGATAGTTTGCCTGTTGGATTAAAGACACGTGGTTTCTAAGAAGTTAACAACAAAAAAAAAAATAATGAAAAAATATATAAGAGTTTATTTACTGGAATTGAAACTTGTATCATAAGATTAGCTTTATTCTGATCTTGAAATGGAATTGTTTTTGGATCAACTCCTTCCATAACAATCTATTCATATTTAATTTAATAAAAAGTAAAAAAAAAAAACAAGATAATTATACTTTTCCAAGCATTGTTCCATGTTCACGAAGTTTTTTTGTTAACATACGTGTATCAATACCTAAAATCAATATAATTTCTATCAAGTAATTAAAAAAAAACAATAAAAAGAAAACTAACCATAAAGACCAGGAATATTATGTTTTTTTAACCATGATGAAAGAGATTCAACAGCATTCCAATGACTATATTGTTCTGTATAAGCACTAACAATTAATGCAGATGCATAGATTTTATTCGATTCAACCCATTGAAGTAGACCAAAATCATCGACAGCTTTTTCATCGGGTACACCTAAAGCAAATATTAAGTATAAAATAAATAATATTCAAATACTAAATATCAAACCATAATTGCCAATAAGTGGAAAAGTAAGAACCAAAATTTCTCCACAATACGATGGATCAGTTAATGATTCAATATAACCGACCATACCAGTTTGAAATACTAAATAGAAATAAATAGAAAAAAAAGCAAAGAGATTAAATAATAGAATCTTACCGACTTCACCAGAAGTATTAGTTGAAGCTCCAAATACAAAACCATTGAATTTAGAACCATCTTCAAGTATTAAAGTTCCACGTTTCATCTTGAAAAAAATAAAGAACTATTATTTCTTATTAAAGAAATACATTTGAGATATTCATGTACAAGAAAAACATGCTTTCAGTCTATCGAGGCTTTATAAAAAAAAAAAACTATCTACTTACGTTCTATTGTATAGAATTGTAAACAATATCAGAAAAATAAATTTAACTGGACTGTATTAGAAATATATACGAAATATTTCATGGAGTGTACATAATGACCAAGAATAAGAATATGTATATACAATCTCTCCAATCATATTATTTTGAAGTTTTTCATCAGTAATCTCCTGACATCTATTGTGATGAGACTTCTTGTATATTATTAATTTTTTAAAATAAACTTTTTTCTTGATAAATTATTCACAATTTTTTCGTTCATTTTTATTTTCTTTTGCATTTTAAATAAGAAAATATATACTACAACACAAAAAAGAATATGACATGAAAATTTGCAACGAAATCCTTACTTGTCGAAATATTCAAGACAGCTGATCAGATTCTCATGAATATAACGCCAACGTGAGATAGTGAAAATAATAAAAAGTTTTATACTTTAAAAGAGAATGCAATTAACATTGGAAGAGCACACAACTAAAATATCACATATGCTAAAAGTTATAATACTTCTTGCGTTAGTGACATTCGCTGTATGCGAACGTGAAACGCCTCCTTCACGTCCGTTATGGCCAGATGGATTCCGGTAAAATTTATTATTCATATAAAAGATATAATGAATTAATCTTTATTGTGTTTTTAGAACACAAGCAATAATAACTGCTTTTGATGAAAATAATCAACCACATGCTCATCGTAGTCTTTTTTACTATGCATATACAAACAAAACAGCTAGTGGACGTTGGCAAGGTAATGAACGACATGATCATTTTGGTTATTGTTATGGTTGGGCATTGAATGAATCGAGTTGCACTATATTAATTACTCAAGATGTCTACATTATTGCTCGTAATCTTTGTTGCATAGCTATGCCAGGAAATTTCGGTGTACCTCGAGATTGGCTTAAGGGTGCTACATGGCTTGGAATAGAACAAATACATGGCAGGACTGTTGATCATTGGTATTCTTGGGAACATGAATATTGGAGTGAAGTTGATGAACCTAGAAATGGTGTTCGTTATTCGGGACCTAATTTTAAAACACCTCGCCAATTTACTGATTATGATGCATGGGAAATCGCTCCACAAGATCCTCATCTTTTTGATCTACCAAAAAATACTGATTGCAGTCAACCATGTCCGTAATACTACTTGCATTCTATAATGAGAGGCATGTCTTATGGTAAAAAATTTCAATCATATTTTAAATAAAAGACTTCACAACAACAATACTAACAAGAAGCTTTGCTTATATAAAATCATCATTTACTTCTTAGAAATAAAAATATATTTTTGAGAATTTATCATTCAGAAGTAATCATATCTACATATAGGGTACTTAAAAAATTCTCGCACTTTCAAATATTTATTCCTAGAAAAAATATTTTGCTAATCTTTTTACAGTAAGTATTCGATTTAGTCTTCATTCTGTTCAATAAAAAATTTTATTCATTAAATTTACTTCTGAAATGTCTTTTGCTATTCGTGAATAGAAATTGAATTGAGCTCGTTGGTTATTGTTTTGGTTTAAAATATAATATCTGGACATGTATCAAGTTTATATTTAAGACAATTGAACTATCAAAAGTCTGAAAGAGCTGATCGAATGAGTAAATGAATGATTCATCATGTTGAGTTTTTCTTAAAAATAATTGAAAATAATCTCATTTATAAATAATCTTACATTATATTATAATGCAGCCTAATGTCATTTGTTATTGATAGTGATCGTTTTCTTGTGTAACTGTTTGAGAAAACTTTAAACATTCATCCCAGTGAAATATGGCATTGATCGATGTTCCACAAGGCAACTGATGAATAAGAGTATGGGTGTAGGTCTTCACGTTAGCCATGTCCTCAGCTACATCCTTCTTAAAATGACATTGCGGAACAAATAAACAAAATGAACTAATTTTACATATCCATATCCACCCGCATACCCGACCTAGAGTCCAAAAATTTCCGGACCCGGACCAGGACCCGATCGGATCCGAGTAGGACTCGATGGGTTCTACCCGATACGCACTACATCCTAGAACATTCTTTATTGCTTCATTCCAGTAGATTACATAGTAGTTTTTATAAATTATGTTGTGAAAAATAATTATAAAACATATGTAGCTTTTTTGCTACTATGGGACTCAAAGGATTAAATACATATATAGTTATTCGGAACATGAAAAATAACAACACAATTAAATGTCTAAATCATACTTTTTATTCTTTTGACTCCATCTGCTGACTGCGGATACCAATACCAGGATTGGTTCCGAAGAAATAGCCAATAAAAATGTTTTTGCAAATCTATTCAAAGTATAGTTATCAGTAACATTTTAGATATCTATTCCTTGGTTTTATTTATTAAAATATTTTTTAATGTTACGACAACCTTTACTTCGTTTTTTCAATCAAAGAAATCTTTTCTCATTATTTTATCGCACTGTTTATCGTTCAGTACTTGATAATCCTAATAAAATTGCTGTGATTGATTCTAATGGTCAATATTCATATTCACATCTTCTTTCAGCTAGTGTTCAATTACGTGATAAACTTCTTTCTGTAACTGATGATAAACAGAAATCTGCTCATAAACGTATTGCTTTTCTTTGCAATCCAGATGCATCATTTGTTGTTGCTCAATGGACATGTTGGCTTTCACGTGCAATGTGTATTCCACTTTGTAAAGATCATCCACAATCATTACTTGATTATTATATTGATGATGCTAAATGTTCACATTTAATTGTATCACCTGAATATGAAAAATTACTTCGACCACTTGCTGATAAATTTAAAATACCATTAATTATAATTACACATAATGATATTGAATTAGGTAAAACAAAACAAAATATTCAATTATCTAATCAACAACAATTCGATATTTTTTCTAAAAATTCCGATGATGCTCTTATTTTATATACATCTGGAACAACTGGCAAACCAAAAGTAAATTTTATTATTATTCTTTTCGTATAATACATAGGAAAATAGCTAGGGTGTTGTTCATACAATCGCTACATTACGTGCACACATGGATGCAATGCTTTCAGCTTGGCGTTTGACAAAAAATGATACAATATTAAATGTTCTTCCACTTCATCATGTTCATGGAATGATAAATTGTGTTATGTCACCACTCTATGCTGGTGGAACGGTAGTCATGATGAATAAATTTGATGCTGAAGAAGTATTATAAAATAATAAATTTTATTTTTATAATTAAAAAAAAAAATTGCGTTTTTGAGACATGGGATCATCTACTTAATGATCGTAATCCATCAATTAATGTTTTTTCAGCTGTACCAACAATTTATATAAAATTAATTGAACATATCAAAAATTCATCAATAAAAGATGTGAAAAGATTATGTTCAGATCATATGCGGTAGGAAAAACAAAAAATTAATCTTTTTAACAGAGTTTTCTTAGTTTTTGTTTTTTTTTTGAATCATAGACTTTTTCTTTCGGGTTCATCAGCTTTACCAGAACCGACATTTCAAAAATGGCATGAATTAACAGGCTTTGAAATTGTTGAACAATTCGGTTCATCAGAAACAGGACGTGTTCTATCAAATAAACTTGAAGGAAAGAAATTAGCTGGTAAAACAAAAAATCTTCTTAACCCTTTGAGGACCGAGCCCGTATATATACGGCTTTGAAATTTGACTAAATAGAGAAATCCTCAGATATACTAAAATTGGAATTTTTATTATGGATTTTATTGCAATATACATGCTACACATATAGACGTTATGAAGTAGTCTAGATGGAGTATACATATATTTAGCTCAGTATAGTTCGTCATTGTTCATCGCATATTTGTTTCATAAAGTAAATGCTGAAAAAAAGAAACTTAAATTTGTAGATCATCGTTTATAACTTATTCGAAAAATCTTAGAGACCTTTTGTGCTCCAAAATCTATAATATGTCGTTCTGCAATAACTTATCAATCAACTAGATTTACTGCTAGACATCTTCCATCACTTGTACCTCATACAACTAATAGAAAAACTCTTGTGTTGTATATGCACATACTAGTCGAAGGAAGAGGACTGATCTATGCTATATAATTATATAAATATTGTAATGTAAGTTTTTATGTTATTAGTTGGTTCGAGAACTACCATACTTTATTACATTTCTAACATTTTCACATTTACTTTCGTTTGTCCTCGAAGGGTTAAATTAACATATCACAAAATATTTAAAATGTCTTAGGTCGAGTTGGTCTTCCAATGCCTGATTTAACACTACGTTTAGTACAAAAAGATGAAAATAATAATGATCAAATTGTTGCAGAAGGTACTTATGATAAAGTGAACATTTTTCAAAAAGGTTTGTAGACAAGAAGTTTATGATTTGATAGAAAATTCTTTTTATTGTTTATATAGAACATGATGGAAAAGTGGAAGGTGAAGTATATGTTAAAGGTCCTGCAATATTCAAATATTATTTCAATAAAGAAGAAGCTACGCGAAAAGCATTTGATTCTCAAGGATACTTTATGATGGGTAAATATCGAGTTCTTCGTTTATAAGCTTTGGGAGAAAGTTTATTCTGTAATTAGTTTAAAAAGAAACAACACTAAAACATAATTAGATGGTTTTTTTTTCTCGAATCGATATCCTTCGATGATTTCTTAGTTCGATTCTAATATTATCAATTGCAATGAAATAGAATTATATTAAATATAATATTACAGAATAACAATATAATACAGGGGTGCACCAAATCCAAATCCAGTCAAACCCAAACCCAAATCCAAGTCAAATCCAGTCAAACCCAAATCCAAATCCAAGTCAAACCCAAAT